TTTCCGGCCTGGTCTCCCCTCAGAAACCACTCATGGACCTTCCTCTTCCTCCTCCTCCCCCACCACTTCCTGGAAGATCTTCCCACCCCCACCCCAAGACCAGGAAGTGGTTGAAATGGGGGAAAAAAAACCCATTTCCCCCCATTTTTACCCAAATTCTGCTTCTTTTACCCCAGGAAAGAATCGAAACCTCCCTCCGCGTTTCCAAGGAGGAACGAGAGAAGTTCCTGGAAAGGTGGAAATCCCAAGGTTGGAAGAGCAACCACCTGGTAGGTGACCCCCAGGAGGACCTTGGTGGCATCTGGGTTGGCTTTTTGGGGGCCATTTTGCCCTTTTTTGGGGTCATTTTGTCCTTTTTTGGGTCATTTTCCCCTTTTTTGGGGGTTGTTTTGTCATCGTTTCAGGCCGGATCTTCCATTTCTGTTGCTTCTCTTTGATCTCCTGGGGTTTTATCTCCTGGTGACCTCCAGGAGGACCTTGGTGGCACCTGGGTTGGCTTTTTGGGGGCCATTTTGCCCTTTTTTGGGGTCATTTTGTCCTTTTTTGGGTCATTTTCCCCTTTTTTGGGGGTTGTTTTGTCATCGTTTCAGGCCGGATCTTCCATTTCTGTTGCTTCTCTTTGATCTCCTGGGGTTTTATCTCCTGGTGACCTCCAGGAGGACCTTGGTGGCACCTGGGTTGGCTTTTTGGGGGCCATTTTGCCCTTTTTTGGGGTCATTTTGTCCTTTTTTGGGTCATTTTCCCCTTTTTTGGGGGTTGTTTTGTCATCGTTTCAGGCCGGATCTTCCATTTCTGTTGCTTCTCTTTGATCTCCTGGGGTTTTATCTCCTGGTGACCTCCAGGAGGACCTTGGTGGCACCTGGGTTGGCTTTTTGGGGGCCATTTTGCCCTTTTTTGGGGTCATTTTGTCCTTTTTTGGGTCATTTTCCCCTTTTTTGGGGGTTGTTTTGTCATCGTTTCAGGCCGGATCTTCCATTTCTGTTGCTTCTCTTTGATCTCCTGGGGTTTTATCTCCTGGTGACCTCCAGGAGGACCTTGGTGGCACCTGGGTTGGCTTTTTGGGGGCCATTTTGCCCTTTTTTGGGGTCATTTTGTCCTTTTTTGGGTCATTTTCCCCTTTTTTGGGGGTTGTTTTGTCATCGTTTCAGGCCGGATCTTCCATTTCTGTTGCTTCTCTTTGATCTCCTGGGGTTTTATCTCCTGGTGACCTCCAGGAGGACCTTGGTGGCATCTGGGTTGGCTTTTTTTGGGGCCATTTTGCCCTTTTTTAAGCCATTTAGCTCTTTTTTGGATTATTCTTTCATGTTTGAGGCCGAATCTTCCATTTCTGTTGCTTCTCTTTTATCTCCTGGGGTTTTATCTCCTGGGGTTGAGGCCTCAAACCAAGGCCTGGGTTGAGGAGATAAGGTTGAAGCTCCTCTCAAGGGCCCCACCCATGGTCACGTGACCTGAGAAATGGGTGGTTTGGGGTGTTTTGGGGTGTTTTTTTTTTTTTCCCCTAACCCTCCACAGATCTGATTTCAGAGCCTGGTTGAGGCTTCATCAACCTTCCAATCCCA